CCCCCGCACCCTCCTCCCGCCCCTCCTTCTCCGGGGTCAGCCAGGAAGATGTCCCGAGCTGCTATCCCCGGCTCGGCCCGGGCAGCCGCCTTCTGAGCCCCCGACCCGAGGCGCCGAGCCGCCGCCGCCCGATGGGCTGGGCCGTGGAGCGTCTCCGCAGTCGCAGCTCCAGCCGCCGCGCTCCCAGCCCCGGCAGCCTCAGCCTCAGCGGCGGCGGCGGCAGCGTCTTCCGCATCGTTCGCCGCAGCGTAACTCGGAGCCCTTTGCTCTTTGCAGAATGGCCCGCTTCGGAGACGAGATGCCGGCCCGCTACGGGGGAGGAGGCTCCGGGGCAGCCGCCGGGGTGGTCGTGGGCGCCGCAGGCGGGCGAGGAGCCGGGGGCAGCCGGCAGGGCGGGCAGCCCGGGGCGCAAAGGATGTACAAGCAGTCAATGGCGCAGAGAGCGCGGACCATGGCACTCTACAACCCCATCCCCGTCCGGCAGAACTGCCTCACGGTCAACCGGTCTCTCTTCCTCTTCAGCGAAGACAACGTGGTGAGAAAATACGCCAAAAAGATTACCGAATGGCCATATCCTTTTGCCCGAACCCCGGCGGCAGCTGCGCCTCCCCCTCCTCCCTCCACCTCCCCTCTTCCAGGCTGGGAGAGAGACCCGGGGGTTGATGGGAGGTGGGGAGGAGGGGGGTCTTCCAGGGGCTGGGAGAGGGGGCACCGGGAGGAGTGTGAGCGAATCTCTCCACCCCAGCTGGGTTGAGCTACCTTGGAGGCTTGGGAGTGGGTTTGTGGGGGGTTGCGGAGAGTGCATCCCTCCCAAGGACCGACCCCAGAATGAGATCTGGAGCCTGGGGTCGTGCAGGGCCTTGGTGGGGGCTTTCGAGCCAGTTCCGGAGGGTTCCGAGTTCTCTGGAATGAGCTTGGAACGGGTTCGGGCCTGGGCGCTTCTGGCCAGGGCAAGGGAACTATGGGGGCCTTGGTTGGGTTTTCTTGGCCATCCCTCCCTTGGAGTCCACCCAGGGGAAGCTGGACAGCCTCTCCACTCCTGCCTTCCCCAAGGTGGGGGGGTCACCGCACTTTTAGGGCAGGGCGCTTGGGAGCTCCCAGGGCGAAGAGCAAGAGGGGAGTCCATGTGGCCTTCACCCTGAGAAGCCAGCACTGGCCGGAGTGAAAACCCCAGGGTGGGCCGCTGGTCCGGTCTGGAGAGGGTAGTGACGGGTCGGAAGGCGCTAATGTCTCCCTCATGTTTGTAGGTCCCAATGCCTTTAGTGGCTGATCAGGGACCTCATCATCTTTAGGGTGTAGAGAAACAGATCCGGTTTGCTTTACCTGGGCCCCTGGCCTGGAAAGACCTGATCTGGACAGTTTCAGTAAGAAAGGGCAGGAGCAAATGAGCTGGTGGGTCCCTTCTAGAGCACCGTGTCCAGCTTTTCCTACCCCGAGTAGCCGAGAGGGGACACCAGGAGAATCAGCACCCATGTGGACATCTTAGGTAGGTAAATGCCTTTTAAAAAAAATTTTTTTTTTTTTTTTTAAATCCAAGATCCAGAGAAAAAAGGTGAAGCCCACATTTTCGTCTGTGGAGATGCTGTCAAATGCAGAGCTCCTGTGTCTCTTTAAATCTCTGCCTGCTTGAAATAAACCTTGAGGAGGGCTTCGCATCTATTGAGATGTAGGCAGGCAAGGGAGGGTAATTAGTCGGGCTTTCTAGCAGTTATCTAAGCATGACCCAGATTCCAGGAGGGGGGACACACCCTGCTGCCCAGGCTGGCTGGCCACCATGCCATGCCCAGATGTGCCGATTCTCCTGACGGTTGCAAACAGCTGCCCTCCGTGTAAAACTCAACCGGCTGGATGGGCCCCTGGGGCTCAGCGATGAGTCCCCCATCCCTTTTGTGTATGGTTTTGCAGTTCTAGACTCAACGGGGCTGGGCCCTGTGTGGTCCCTTGGGGGGGTTGCTGTTTGAGGAACATGGCGGGTGGTAGGAGGATTCACTTCAGGTGGCTCAGAATTGAGCCTGGCTCTTCATCCCGGGTGCTGAGATTGTAACGGAGGGCACTGAGGTTTTAGAGTGTGTGATCGGTCTACTTTGAGGGTGGGGAAAATTAAGAAGTTCAGCAGAGATGCTTTGGAGGGGAGCATACCTCTAACTATGATGCTGTTGGTGCCCAAGGCAGGGGCTGGGTCTTTGCTTCCCAAGTTTCAGCTTCCTGAAGAGGCTGTTTCTTAAGGTTGGCAATTCAACCCCATCTCAGGCCCATTGAAGTGCTCAGGGGTGTTGTGATCACTCTGCCCATCAGCAGAGTGAGGGGTGGGCGTGCCTTGCAGGAGGGTAGGGTGTTCATGTGTGCACACTCAGATAGCTCCAGGAGTGAGAGGGCTTTGCTCAGCTGACAGGTTTCCTCATTGAAAATGGCTTTAGATCGCCTTCTGGAGACTGGATTTGGAGACTTCTAAGAGGAAAGGAAGGAGGTGGGGAGCCCTTCTGTTGTGTCCTTAGCTTACCTCTGTCCAGCCTGAATCCTGCAGATTGGAAGGCTGTTGGGGGAGGGGGAGATTGCAGCCGCCCCTCAGAAGGGAGGGAATCGTGGGAGTGGGAGGCAGGTAAATTGGGAGTGTTGCTTGCCACTTCATCTTTTCTTTGGCCAGCTCACCCAGGGCTTTCTTGCTCTTATGATGAGTTTGTGCATTTTGCTCTCTGCAGACTGTTTTTCTTCTCTTTGGCTCGAGGTAACAAACACATTATACAGCCCTACTCTGGAAGGGAAAACTCCCCCCGCCACCCCAATCTGTCATCAAGCTGGGTCATCCGGGACTGAGCTTTCTCTGTCCTGGATGGAGCGGAGGGTGATGGCAGCGTGGGTGGGAGGGGTGGAGATAAGAGGATGGACGCGGACCTGGGGAGGGAGGCAGTGAATAAAAGAATTCAGGGCAGTGTAAAGAGAACGACCATGTGGAGTGTCAGGGTCACGCTACCAGGGCAGAACATTTTACTTTTTTTTCCAAGTATTTCTGCCATTAAAAAACAATGTTTAAGCATATCCTGTGGGGGGAAAAATGTGTGTAGGTACTTATTCTGAACTTTTAAAATAAAGTCTGATATGTGTACAGGCAAGTATGTATATCCAGAGTCACAGGTTTTTACAAAATGAACACATCCAGGCATCCAGCACCCAGGTCCTGATCAGCCCCCCGGAAATCCTCCTCCCCATACCACCTCCTAGTCGCTCCCCAACAAGGGTACGGCTCACCTGACTTCTACGATTCCTTTTGCCTCTTTTACGCATCATGTAAATGGAGTCACACAGTGTGTGCTTTTGCCGCTGGCTTCTTTGCCTCACGTCTGTGCGTGTGACTCTGCCACAATCTATCCATCCTACTGTTGATGGGCATTTGTTGGGCATTTGTGTTGATCGCCCCTGCTACTTTTTGATGTGTGTGCTGTGGGATGTGTATTTGAAAATGTGGTTTACTAAGGGTTGCAGGTCGTTATGGAAAGCAGGTTCCTCACTGACTTGTGGAAGAGAAGTGAGTGAATGATCCATGAACTTGGCTGTGTGCTCACAGGGTCTAAGAGTGGTACTTCTAAATGCAAATTCCGGCACGGTACACTGGTGAAGGATGCAGCCTTGCCTTCTCCACACTCAGGAAAATTCGCCACTGTGACTTCTTCCTCTTTCATTCCTCAGCAGGTCAAACTTGAATCCATCCATGAGAATTAAGAATCCGCATGTATTTCATTTTTTCTCCTCTTCCTAAGTGAGAAAACCCAAATGGAAGTCTTTGATATTCAGATTTACATTGCTGTATTTTTCTCATGCCAGGCAGCAAGCCATCTTGACCACACACCTTGATTCCACGTTTCCATTGATTGGAATTGTGATTCAAATAGGGTCATGAGGGTCTCTAATGATTGCTGATGAGCTCAGATCTGTCAGCTCAAAAAGGAGCATCTGTCAGCCTTCATAGAGCTCCCTCTCTGCTTATTGTCACTCACTTCTTCTACCAAGTGCCAAGGTGAATGCCACCTTTCCCGCCCTCCCTGTGCCACCAGGTCTCCCACTGAACGAGATGTAGAAACTCAGGCCATTGCAGGAGCACTGGAAGAAGGTCTACGTATTATCACACACAGCCTCCTGAATTACACTTAGAATTCCGGCTTTTCATCCGGTTTGCAGGAATCTTAACAAGATACCTAAAGTCACATTGACATCAGGTGATGATGCTTTGACATCTGTGAACATTGGCTGATTGGCACGCCTCATTTTTTTTTTTTTTTTTTAAAGAAAAACTCTCTAAAGAGAAACTTCTGCATGAGAAGGCCTGGGGGACATGGAAGCAGGTCATGATACTCTTGGCCTATCCTGAAAGGTAGCATGTTCTAGAAGGTACTGCTATAGCGGGCAGGATAGTGTCACTTATGTGATCCTTGTACTAGACCAGCTTGGCTGCAAAGTGAAAAACAGCACGGCGTTTCCATCAGGAGTATTTTCAGAAAGGGTACAATCTCTCATCCACAATTCCCAAATCCAAAAAGCTCCAAAAAGCAAAAGATGAGCTCATAGAGAGATAAAACCTAACCTGAACTGACTCGAGTTTGAAGGCTTAATTTACAGTTTCCATTCATCCCGCTTGGTGTGCATTTGAGTATGTTTTGCAGCAGAAATGTTCGATGTGCTTGCTGATGGCTTGTTGCTTCACCTCCTCACTGTCTGGCCTGCCTTGTGGTCCTGTCAAACTTTCAGGCGCGTGAAGACGGTCTTGTGAACAGGATAGCTTGGGTCCAGCAGGGTTCGGGTGGGGTCTGGGATTCTGCTTTTCTAGCTGGTATCTAGGGATTCCCCACACAGCAAGTTGGTGGGCTATGGTTGGAGTATTAGGTTTTATATCATAGAAAAAGCTTGTTATCATTTTTCTTTTCCTTAAAAAAATAATTTATTTGTAGCAAAATTCACCCTTTCAACATACGAGTCTGCGAGTTTTGACAAAGGCATGCTGTAGCCGCCACCCAAATCAAGATATGGGATAGTCCGTCAACCCTAAAATACCCCCACAGTGCCCCTCTCAAGTCAGCATCCCTCCTCCCCATCCCCTTCAACCACTGATCTGTTCTCCATCCCTACAGTTTTGCCTTTTGCAGAAGGTCACATAAATAGAATCTCACGGTACGTAGCCTTTTGAGTGTGGCTCCTTTCACTCCGTCTTTGAGATTCATTCACGCTGTTGCCTGCGACAGTAGCGCCTTCTTGTTGGTGTTGAGCAGTATTCCATGATATGGATGGACCAGAGTTTGCTTCCCAGATGAAGGACCTTGGGATGCTTCCAGTTTCGGTGATTATGAATAGAGCTGCTATAAACATTGGCGTGCGGGTTTTAGTGGGAACATTTCATTTTATACTTTTCATTTCTCTTGGGTAAATTAACCCAGGAGTGAGATTGCTGAGTTGTGTGGTAGGTGTATGTTTAATTCTATAAGAGGCTCTCAAACTGTTTTCCTAAGTGGTGGCACCACTTTACATTCCCGTCTTTGCGATGCCGCTGAGAGCCCTGGGTTGTGAACTCCAAAGCACGTCTGGCCTGGATGGCTTGGGGTGAGGGATGTGGATTTACAGAAAGGGGTGGAAGTAATAGTGTCAAATGACAGTCAGAGAAATAAAGATTAAGGATGTCGTTCAAAGATATGTGCCCACACTAGAGAGAGAGTGAAGGGGTTCTTTGGGGTGGGGTTCCACCCTTCCCCAGTAGTTCTACCGCTCCCCAGGAAAAAGTTAAGCTCTGAGGCTGTGAGACCCATGATTTTTACCCTGTTCTCCACCATTGCTATCCCAGTGTGCAGGACAAAGCAGGCACCCCATACACGTTTGCCAAGCAAATGAAAAAAAGTGCCTGTCTTCACCCATTAACGGAATCGTATAACATGTGATCTGCCCTTGTGCCAACGTTTTAGGGTTCAGGGAGTTGAGAGAATGCCCATGAGATTATCAGACCAATGAAGGTTTCTGAAACGTCAGTGCTGGAGGAGATTGGACACAACGGACCCTTGGGAATGAAGTCTTTCTTCGGGGACTTGGAGAGGGAGGCATCTGCTGGGTGCTTAGGGCTTACGTTCCCCGCTCCCTGCTTCCTCGCAAGTAGCAAGCACACATAGACACTTTCTCAGCAATAAAAAGCACCGCCGGGAAGGTGGACTCCATCCAGAGATGGTCAGAGCCTAAGAGCCGTGCAGTTAACGCATTTCCGAGAATGCCAGCTCAGCTCCTGAGAAAAGGGCCGGATGGCGCCTGCCCTGAAAGAGGGCGGAGAGGAGAGGGAGAACGCCGAGGACTCTGGGTCAGACTGGCGCAGGTTCGGGGTATTCACCAGCTGTGTTTTCTTGGGCACCAGTGCCTCAGTTTCTTGACATGCATGATGAGGGTATTTCTCCTGACAGCTTCTTACCTTGGAGGGCTCTCAGGAGGTAAAACGGGGTCATGCGTGAAAAACGGCCAGCA